TCCCTGATTTTATGTGAGCCGCCCTGAGTCCCCTCAGGGAAAAGGGCGGCCTACAAATGTTAATAAAATCTAGAAAATCTAGAAATCTAGTAACAAACAACACTAGATGCAACAACTGCCTAGATCTCATCTTCTGCAATAGTTTACATTCAATCTATGGTCTACAAATAAATAAACCCTTTTCCAACAGTGACCACAGCATGATTGACTTTTGTCTCAATTTATGTCCTTACAAAAATGATAATAATGATAGAATCCCAAAGTATAACTTTAGAAAAGCCAACTATGATCTCATAACTGAGGACCTCTTGTCCGTTGACTGGCAAACTCTGTTCACTGTCTGCAACACTGCCGAAGACCATTATAACATTTTTTGCACAAAATCAAAAGAATCATCAAACAATACATACCTCTAATAACCACCAAACCAGGAACAACAAGTTGCCAATAACAATAAGGAAGCTTCAGTAAAAAAAACCACTCTGGCACAAAAAGAAAACTGGCTATGTAGCTAACTTTAAAAATCTTATGCCGACAGATAAAGGCAGAATGCATCAATTATCATAGCAAACAAAAGGAAAACCTACTACGCACAAAATCCACCTGGGCCTTCTATAATTTTATAAACAACAAACTTAAAGACTCAAGATCCATCCCACCACTAAAAGGGCCAAACGGGAAAGACTGTAATGGTGAAACCATTACAGCCAACCTCTTCAACACATTCTTTGGTTTAGTCTTTGTAAACATCAATGGCTCATGCCCCACATTTCCCAGTTGTACCACAACCAATTACAACAATCTACTTCATGTTGATTTTACAGAAGATGCTGTTGAAAAGGCACTACGCAACCTAAAACTATATCTATCTTTTGGCCCTGATGGATTATGTGCCTACCTCTTAAAAAACCTCTCAACCACCATTGCATAATCTATGAAATATCCTTCAAAACCAGCTCCTTGCCAAACTTATGGTACTAGCCATAGTCATCCCTGGGTGACCACAGCCTAGTTGAAAATTGCAGACCAATCTCATTACATTGTGTCACCTGCAAAGTCATGGAATCAATCATAAACCAACCCATTACCCTCTACTTTGAGACAAACAACCTACCCTCTAAAAAGCACTTTGGCTTCAGAAAAAATCTATCCTGCAATCTGCAACTCTGACACTGCAAAAACATATGGACTTCACAACTCGACTAGGGTAAAGCAATAGATGCAATTTACATAGACTTCTGTACAGCTTTTGATTCAGTAGTACATGACAAACTAATTCTAAAACTAAAATCTTATGGCATATCTGGTTCCTGCATAAGTGGATAGATGTGTTCCTATCAAACAAGCAACAAGTATTCAAAATAAGAAACATCCTATCAAACCCTGTACCTGTTAACAGCTGTGTCACCCAAGGTAGCGTTTTAGGAGCCACTCCATTTATACTTTACATAAATGACCTTTGTGATAATATTATAAGCAACTCTTCACTGATGATGTAAAACTATTCAATAGCACTGACAATGCTGCTACCCTACAAAAAGACCTTGACTATGTGTCAGAATGGTGAAACAATTGGCAATTCCAAATCTCAGCCAACAAATGCTCTGTCTTACACATTGGCAAAAAAAGTCAGAACTCAAAATACAAGTTGGGTGGATATGACCTCATAAGACAACCCCCATGTTGTCATGGATTCATATCAAATGATCTAAGCGCCAGAGCTCACTGTAACACCATTGCCAAAAAGGCATTAAGAGTTGTTAACCTAATCTTGCGTAGCTTCTTTTCCGATAATATTGAACTGTAAACTAGGGTATACAAAACTTTTGCTAGACCAATTCTTGAATACAGCTCATCTGTCTGGAACCCGCACTGCATATCCGACATAAATACAATCGAACAAGTCCAGAGATATTTCATGAGAAGATTCCTCCACTCCTCTGCTCGCCACAGAATACCTTATGCCATCAGTTTTGGGGCTTAGACAACTATGCTGTCTTTGATCCGACCTAAGCATAGTACATAAAACTATCTGCTACAATGTCCTATCTGTCAATGAATACTTCAGCTTCAACCACAAAAACACATGAGCTCACAATAGATGCAAACTTATGGTAAACCACTCCAAACTTGATTGCAGAAAATACGACTTCAGTAAAAGAGTTATCAGTGCCTGAAATGCACTACCTGATACTGTGGTTTCTTCCCCAACCCTCAAAACTTTAACCTTAGACTGTCTACTGTTGACCTCACCCCATTCCTAAGAGGTCTTTAAGGCAGGTGCATAAGCGCACCAGCATGCCTACCATCCCTCTCCAAAAGTGGAATTTTTAAAGACGATATTGGATAAACCCTTTGTCTGAAATGATATAGTTTCCTGCTTGAGTAGGGGGTTGTACTAGAAGACCTCCAAGGTTCCTTCCAACTTTGTTATTTTGGAACCTACATTGAGACACTTCCCTTGTAGTACCTGATGATCATACCCAGTGGCTTCATAAATAGCATAGAGCACAAGAATGATTCTTACAATCTTTTATATCTAATTGCATGGAATAGAACAAGAATGTCCCAACAGTACTTTCTGAAACTCATCCTTGAGATAGGAAAAATATCATGAAAGAACCATGCAGTCTATTTTGCATTCTCAAAGGCATTCCAAAAAGAAACTCTAGCTGGTGATACTAATCACCATTGAGATATCCACAAGCCTAAGCTAGGACAATTGTCCATCTTCTGCTTCCTTCAGAGATTACTTTAAGTGTCCCAAAGCTGTCTCTATGCTATTGTCAAGTCTGAATCTGAACTGAAATATATTTAAACAATTACTTTCTGAAGAACTTACAGTTGTGGTAAAGATAGTATTAGGTGTAGGCTTAGTTAGAAGTATTTTACTCTTACATTGATTTCTTATGGATCTCATTGAAACTAAAGGACTGAGTTTATAAAATTAAGCAATAGTTAGTGTGAGTAAAATTGCTGTGCTCACAAAACATGCTTTATTCAATCAAATAAACCATATTATTATTTAATGTAATAACTTGGCTCACACAGTGTGCGAAGCAAATGTTTGGCTTTCCCATTACACATTGAACCATGAACTACCCATCTGGTTGTAGTTTAAGTTGTCAGAATACTACCTAGTTTATGTCCAGTGCATAAAATAGCCACTGAGCCTTAGTTTCATAATAAGACTAAGAATCAGAATAATTCTTATTGAAGAGTTGAAGAAGAACCACTGAACTATATCTTTCAGAGGTCCTGGATCACCGGGAAACTGCAAGAGGACTGGAAAAGAGCTGACATACTTCTCATCTTCAAAAAAGGGGGAAAAATAGAGCCAGGAAACTACAGACCTATCAGCCTGACCTCAATACCAGGAAAGATTCTGGAAAAGATAATTAAGCAACAAATTAGCGGACACTTAGAAGTAAACAAAGTAATAGCCAAAAGCCAACAGATCATGCCAGACTAATCTTATTGCATTCTTTGACAAAGTGACAAAATTAGTGGACCAAAGAAATGCCGTCGATATAGTTTCCCTGGACTTCAGTAAGGCATTTGATAAGGTAGACCATAACCTACTGTTAGATAAAGTAGAAGAATGTGGGTTAGACAGCATCACCATCCGATGGATTCATAACTGGTTGACCAACCACATTCAACGTGTAGTCCTCAATGAAACTGCATCTATATGGAGAGAAGTACACAGTGGAGTACTTCAAGGCTGTTTTAGGCCCAGTACTCTTCAACATCTTCATCAATGATTTGGATATAAGAATAAATGGGAACTCATCAAATTTGCAAATGACACTAAGCTGGCAGGAATAGCCAACACTCCAGAAGACAGGCTTAAGATACAGAAGGATCTTGAAAAACTTGAACATTGGCACTATCTAATAAAATTAAATTCAATGGTGAAAAGCATAACGTTCTACATTTTGGCAAGAAAAATGAAGTGCACAGGTACAGTATAGATGGTACCTTGCTCAAGAGTAGTAACAGTGAGAGGGATCTTGGAGTCCTAGTGGACAACCATTTAAATATGAGCCAGCTGTGTACAGCAGCTGCCAAAAAAGCCAACACAGTTCTAGGCTACATAAACAGAGGGACAGAATTAAGACCACATGAAGTGTTAATACCACTTTATAATGCCTTGGCAAGGCCATACTTGGAATATTGCGTCAGCTTTGGTTGCCACGATGTAGAAAAGATGTTGAGACTCTGGAAAGAGTGCAGAGAAGAGCAACAAAGATGATCAGGGGAATGGAGACTAAAACATATGAAGAACAGTTTCAGGAACTAGGTATGTCTAATCTGATGAAAAGAAGGACTAGGGGGAGATATGATAGCAGTGTTCCAATATCTCAGGGGCTGCCACAAAGAAGAGGGAGTCAAACTATTCTCCAAGGCACTTGAGGGTAGAACAGGAAGCAATGGGTGGAAACTAATCAAGGAGAGAAGCAACTTAGAACTGAGGAAAAATTTCCTGACAGTGAGAACAATTAATCAGTGGAGCAGCTTGCCTCCAGAAGTTGTGAATGCCCCAACACTGAAAGTCTTTAAGAAGATGTTGGATAGCCATTTGTCTGAAATGATATAGGGTTTCATGCCTAGGCAGGGGGTTGGACTAGAAGACCTCCAAGGTCCCTTCCAACTCTGCTATTGTATTGTATTGTATTCTATAGTTCTGTTCATTGATTTACAATAAATAGAGCAGACTTGTTGTATGGAAATTAAATGCAACAAAAATTAATGTCATGCAGTAATTAAAACTCTATTTCAACATCTCTTAAATTTTTTACAAGTATATATGCCATGTAGTCAGTGGACATAAATGCAGGTAAATATATGAAGGATTCAATTCAATTCAACTACTTATGATACTATGACTGTTGGAAATACAGAAATACTCAATTATAGTTTGGAGTGCTATACAATATTTAGAATAATCAAGGAATTGAAAACATTATCAAATTGGCTTATAGATAAAAGTATCTTACCTGTGGAATCTTATAGATATCCAACATAGTGGCCACATAAAGGGAGATATGGGCATCCAGTCCCCCAACAACAGCTATTGCACTGTTGTGAGGGTTACATATGTAGTTGGGGATCAACCCCTCCATGGATGATAGAAGTAGCATGGTGGTATGATATGTGCTCTTAGCATTATCATAGCTGTCATAGATGCGGAAGCCCAAGGTGAGATTGGGTAAGATCTGTGGGTTTTCATTGATCTCCTTCACAGCGAATTCCAAAGCCAGGATGTGCTGGTAATTCTTAGGAATTAAGCTACAATGAGATTTGTGCTGCATATGAGAGTGCTATTCCATATTGAACTATTACTGGTTTCTAGGCAGGAATTATTGAGGTAGAAAAATTGAGCAGGCTAGTTCCACTATTTGTCTGATATTGTAAACTAGTAGCTGCAAGCTTATACTGTTAAGATGCAGTGAAGTGGTTTTCATATCAGTGTAAACCTTGCAGCATTTTGACTTTGAAGTCCAAATATGTACAATATGAAATAACAGAACCTCTCCCATCTAAATTAGTAATGGACAAATATTAATTTGGGGTTCTCTGAGATTTTCATATGTAAAGTTTGGTCACCCATTATCATTTTACAAAGAAGTTGGGTTTTTTTTAAAAAAAAAAACACATGCACACATTCTCTGAATGTTTGTGAAAATACACATGTTAAATATATTTGTCAAAAACGGTCATTTTGCAATTTTATTTGTAATTTTGCCCTGTGTGCATAATTTTGTAAAGAATTTGGAATTCACTTTTGCATTGATGTTCACATTCCAGTTATACAGATATCCATTATTTAAATGTCTATACTATATAGATTCTTTTTTAAATCTAACATATCACTAAAACTTTGAGAGATATGGAGTTATGCCTAATATATTTATTTTAAAAAAGCTGAGTATTGCTAAGCAAAATAACTATTCAAATTTATGATACAGCAATTCTCCATTTCTGGTAATAGGTCTTTTTAAATATGGCAACTCAAAATTAATACTGTAATCCAGCATAGTTCAACATACTTAACATGAACGCACATAGTTGTGCACTCAAGCATGTAATATTGAAAACCTTCATGAAACCTGATTGCCAAGTAATTTATATTTCGGTATTGAAATATTGAAAAAATGCACAGTTCAGGATAACAAACATCAACTTATCTTTTTAAATATCAAAAATGTAAGCAATGAATGTGCTCATATAGAAAGTATTTTTTTCAAAATATTTTAAATCAGAAGAAACTGAACAACATTGAAAGTATGGTAAGAAGTTCCTGAAGGAAAAAAATGAGACAGAGGAAAATAGAGAAATCTGAAAAGAGCTCAAAATTCAACAATAGTTGCATTTGGAGGGATAGATACTCAAACTGCTGTTTTATATATCCACAAAGATCCATCAGATGTGTGTGATTTTATTATGAAAGAGGATTAAATTTCTAAATTATCACTTAATATTTTCAAAAAGGAAAACAGTGATAAACCACAATATTTGGAAAATAATTCTAATTCGTAATAAAAATTACAGAACAACCTTTCCCAGACAGGTACTTAAGTGATGAATTTCGACTCTGGGTTTCAACTCACCAAATAGTAGAGTGTTGAAGGAAGGAAATGGTAGAAGTTGAAGTACACATGAGTGCATTCCATTAAAAAGGGGCTACTATAAATTCACTTCCTGGAAATACCCATGTCATTATAGAAAAACCTTGCAATGATCTATGTGAGCGTGTCCTTTGAGGAGTGATAAAGCAATGTCCCTATTTGGCTGGATCTTAGCACTATTTGTGTCAATTTTACACACCAAGGCAAGTTTAAAGACAGTGTTACATCAAAGTAATAAAATATACAATCTTTTATTAAAGGGTATACAGGATATGAGAAATGGGTTTATTTATCCTCCATGGTATAAGTGTAAATTCAATTTCATTATTTTTTTAAATTAAAAATGAGGAAAATTTTATGTAACTAGAAGACAAATGTGAGTTGACAAAATCCAAAGCATGAAACGGAGAGAAACTGTCATGATGAGATAATTGGTAGGAGAAAGCATTGAAAAGAGAAACATAGAACAGTAAAACAGTTTTAAACTAGTCCTCAATCTGGGAATTTTCAAGCTGCATAAACTGCATTTCCTAACATTCCCCAATCAGAATGTGAATTCTGGAAATGATACTTTGGGTGGCCTTTAGTTTGGGGAATACTGCTTTCAATATTGGAATATATATTATCCTATTGTCTTTCTTTTTTCTTTGTATTCAGAAAGAAGAAGCATCTCCTTAATGATGCTCAAGCTTGTCAGTATTATTGTATATGGCAGTACTACATTTGATTATTCCAGAGATCAAAAACCAGGAAGTATTAGCAAGCAGTGATTTAATTCCTTACACAAAGCTGCCGGGCAATGCTGGTGGGGGGAAATTAGTGAAGGTAATTTCCTGGCTGAAGATGCTAGCTTGAAAAACAATGCCACCAATCATAAGGTCTCCTAGCTGATGGTACTTGTGATATGGTGAGTGTGGATTACTGATGCTGCATCTGTCAGTCTTGCACACCACATGAGGAAGCAATGCTAGTAGTAGGACCAATAAAATTGCCATTCTCAGGACAAGGCATTAGTCAAGAATCCTGTATTTTTTTCTTCCTAAGGCATAGCTATTAACATTCCTGTGATTTACTCTGTTTCACTTCAAAGATTTTCATATGCTAGAAAAATCTGAACCTTAGACTATCCTGTATAGATACAGTTGATCTTACAGTTGATCTTACCTGACCATACTCCCCCCCTCTCCCCCTCTAAATGATATTATTATTTGTATATATACATATATATATCCCCATATATTGCAAAGGTAAAGAAGCAATTATTTCACAATTAGAAGTTTTGTAATAAGGCAGTGAAATCCACAGGGATTTGGAAAAAGAAGAGAATTAAATGTAGTTATTTAGATTCCCAAATAGAAAGATAATTATTAAGCCTTGACTTGATTCCCTATGGAATTGCTAGAGAAGCTGCATTTCTTACAGTTCAGCAAGTGTTTTCTTTTCTACTCAGACAGGAAAGGCTATTTTGGCATAATTCAAAATGGACATTTTTGTTGCCAATTGAGGGACCACAAATAAGCATCTGTGAGACGGTTGAGGGCCACATCATGAAAGTTGGTAGACAGAGGGTTGGGATTGGGGTTTGTGTTGATGTTTTTCCCTTCATTTGGAGAAGGGGTTTAGGAATGTTTACATCAAAGTGCCGGCCGATCTTGTTTTGGGTTATTTTAAAATTATTATGTTTTCTTATAATTGGCTTTGTCCTGCTTTCTGAATTGTGAAAATATGTATTGCAAGACAACAGTCATTTAAATGTAAAAAGCAAACAAATGAAACTGAAATATATTATTCTTGGCCATAATAGGAATGAAATTCTGAGTTGGGAGGTTAGCTAGTCCAATTTTAGGAGAGTGAGTTGTCATTCTCTTCTGTAACTATTACTTTAAAATCCCAGTGTGCTATCAGCTGTGATCTTCCTTAGGGTTCCTCTTTTAAATATTAACAAAATTTGAACATGCATAATTAAGACATAAGCAAATTTGAGAAAGTGCTGCTACTACACAGACATTCTTATATGAACATTTTTGATAAAGGATAATATTTATTTACATGAATCTATTCTTCTTTATTCATGTCATGAATAAAGAGCCGAGGTGGCGCAGTGGTTAGGGTGCAGTACTGCAGGTCACTTCAGCTGACTGTTATCTGCAGTTCAGCGGTTCTAATCTCACCGGCTCAAGGTTGACTCAGCCTTCCATCCTTCCGAGGTGGGTGAAATGAGGACCCAGACTGTGGGGGTGATATGCTGACTCTGTAAACCGCTTAGAGAGGGCTGAAAGCCCTATGAAGTGGTATATAAGTCTAACTGTTATTGCTAACTGCTTTGTCATATCATCATGCATAATTTGGGTAGAAGGACAGTCTACTATCCCTGAATTTGAAGTTGAGAAGGACAAAAGATCTCTAGCAATCACATATTTTCCACTTCCTCTACCAATGGGTTAGAACAAAGCATAATTAAGCTTTGCAAAGTATCCAAATATTGCCTTCATTGAAAGTGTCAGTTTTCTGACTGAGAAAGATAAAGTATTGCACTGACAATTGGGATTGAAAGAAAAATTCCCAAACATGCAGTAGAATTACTTGAAGAAGCATGAAAGAACAATATAAATTGTCAATTTTTCCCATATATACTGCCTCATTATAGATCCTGGTATGATGGTCATGAATGCTAGGATTACCATGATAATTTTTGGCACAAAAGAAACAAGGAAGATGATGCAAAGGAAGTCTTACAGAGGACACAATTTTTAGAAGAAGCAGAGGAGAAGGAGAAAGAAGAATTCAAGTGTGGTTCTTGTTATTAAGTAAAATGTTAAAAGTGTTGCATTATACCCAAAACCAAAGCAGTGATCAAACAATACGATCAAGAAATGAAAGTCATGCCGTTCACTAAAAGTTCCTCATGAAAACAAAATCTTATCACCTTGGAAATCCTACTCGGATTTCTATTTGGTTAGTTTTTGCTAGAACATTCACGACAGTCATTTTTAGGGGTCATTTATTGGATTTTTTGGAAATCCAGAATTTGATAGTGATTATTATAGTAAGGTTCTGCATCTTTCAGTTGAAGATTACAGTGTGCTTTTGTCCTTAACTGTTAGCTCCTGAAGGGCCTAACCTACCATTAGCCATTATATCCTCTTGGTACAATATTCCAAGGAATCATAGTTAAGTAGAAAAATAGAACAGAAGTGTGGAGATCTTAAAGTTGGTCAAACATACAATAGTTTTTTCATGCACAAGGAAAGGGCATTTTAGTGATATGGTTGCTTCCCTCCAATAATTCTCAAAAAGGGTGGAGATAGCATCCAGGTATTGGTGACACTGTCCGTACTCTGATTGGACTGAGTCTAATTACTAATTAATTAGCAAGCCTTATAGCACCATTCTGGTGTGACTCCACCCAGTTTTCCGACTCAGTCCATTCTGGGATGATCAAGTTATCCACCTTTCTCTAATAATTGTGACTTTGAATGTTCTACAACAGGTGGCTGACTGCTGTGCTGAGGTTTGGGGCCGTGAGTACTTCTGACCCAACCATTCCAGGCCATAGTTCATAGCCAAGGGGCCTCAGCCCACAGGCTCATGTCCATCCTGATTATCTCCTACAGTGACTCTTGCCATGTCATGACTCTCTATTTGAGGGAACAAGAGCAGGCATTTGTCTTGGTCATTTCCGCGCCACAGACACCTTCTCCCATCGCCTAGATGCACACGCGATAGCGCGACGCTATTTCTGAGCGCCGAAGAGGTTGTGTGTAAAACGTTTTCACTCCTGGAGTCATGCACCCATGCAAACCATCCAGAACCGCAAGGCCTACGCAGCCTCTGGTAGGCCTAGCTGGCCCAGATCAACCAAAAAGTATGTGAATGCCATTTTGAGTGGGGGCAGAACCCAGATCAGTTGTGGCCGCCATTTCGATACCCCAATTGGGCAATTACTGGCTGACAGCAACAGACAAGGTCTTGTGGCAGGCACCGTCAGATGCATTTCTGAAATCAATCAGGGCCTCCTCACGATAGGGCAAATGGTGCCCTCTCCTCTCTCATGTTTGCCACCTCAAGTCCTCTCAGGAAGAAAAGCACCCAGTAAGACTCCTTCTCCTCATCTCTTAAGGGGTCCAAGGCCAAGAAGTCATCAAAGTTGAGCTCCAAAATCTCCCATAGGGAGAACTCAGAGCCTACACAGCAGCGCGCTGATGCCTTGTCTGCCTCAGCTGGCTGGCCTAGCCCACTGCCATCTCTACAGCTGGAGATCAGTCAGGGGCTTTTCAGTCCGATGCTCCCTATAGATACCTCCGGGCTCTGGGGTAGTGCAATACCCAGGCCGCAACACAGGCCAGCAGAGGCCACCTTTACCCCAACTGTGGCAGGTTTGCTATCTGAGGAACAATGGATCACACTGCCAACAGCCTATCCAGTGCCTGCCATTCCACCAATGGCTTAGGCATACAAGACTTCCTCGCAGGGCCATCAGGCAGGGTATTGCAGCAGGCCTCCAAGAGAGATCCCAGGGGGTGCAGTCAAGGGGCACTTGGGCTACGCTGGGTGACAGGGTCTCACAAGTGGGGGCACCTACAGTCGCTCACTCACCTGCCTCCTGCAGACCTTATCCACAGCCCTTCCCTCATATCTGAAGAAGGGGGGATTAGAGATGTCGAGCTCTCGGGTGAAGACGTGCTGGGTGCAGAGAAGCCCATGGTCATGGGCCTCTTTCCCTCTTGTTCAAGCCACTGTTAACTAAGGCCAAGGCATCCTCTGATGTCAAGGTTCCGCCCTTCACCACTGCTGCCCCGGCTCAACTGCCATCGGCCAAGGGGTTTACAGAGCAGAAAATTGAAACTGATACCAGTGCCTCAGCTATTCATCGACATGGTGCAGAGGCAGTGGGCAGCTCTCGACAAATCCCTCTTATGGCCCAACATTGATTGCTATGGCCCTATTGCTGCGCTGCATTCCAATACCACCCTGCCCGGAGCACAGGAGGACATCCTTAAGCTGGAGGACAGATGAGCCAACCAAGTCCTCCAGCGGGATCATCAGACAGTGGCCTGGGCAGTGTGGGCCTCCATGTCAGTGTCCTTCTTTTCCCACTCCAGTCTCTGTTGGCTCCAACAGCTAAAGGAGTGTATCCCAGCAGGCGATTCATGAGCACACCAGGACCTTAACAAAATAATTGCAGCTGTGCAGTTCACCACAGATGCCACGCTGAATGCTAACAGATTCACATCCAAAGCCATGGCATCTTTGGTGGCTTCACGAAGGCTCCTATGTCTGCACCAATGGCAATCTGATGTCAAGCACAAGAGGTGTCTGGTATCGGAACCATAGAATGGGAGAGACCTCTTTGGGGACTTGCTTAATCCCTTATTAGTTGAGGGAAAGGATGAGCATAAGATCCTACCCTCTAACCCTAAGAAAGGCTTTGCCCGCCCCACACCCTACCTTAGACGACAACAGTTCAGGGCTCAGGATTATGGGGGATCCTTCAGACAATCAGATTATTCCCCCTCAGGTTTTTGCCAGCAGGACAGATTTGTTTACCGCTCCCGGAACCAACAGCAGTATCGGCAGCCGAGAGGGGGGAAATCCAAAAGGCCTTTTCGGGGTGGTGGTAACCAATACTACCGGAAACCTTAGACTGCCCCAGGCTCCGACTCTCATTGAGGGAAGGCTGCGAATTTTAGCAGACCAATGGGAGGCCACAACTTCTGATCCCTGGGTCAGGGCCACAGTCAGGTTCAATCTGATCTTGGCGTTCGTCTCCATCGGAACAGATAGTGCTCACCCAGGGATCGCTGGAACACCCGGAGGCCTGTTGGCTCCAGTTGACTGCCTGGCAGTTGAGCGGCTCACTCTGAGAGGGGGTGAGTACTCAGATAGAGTCTATGTATGGGACATACCCAAGCCCAGCCATTCTCAAGGGACGGAAGTAGATCGTTCTAGTTGGTGACGCTCCGACCTGACCGCTTGCAAGATTCTATGGCCAAAGGCTGCATCTGCAGAAGCGAATTTACCTAGTTGATAGTGTCTGAAAAAGGACAAAGGGGACACCCACGCCGCTGCCCTGCAGATCTCGTCCAATGATGCCAGAGTAGACCATACCATGGTGGAAGCGGCGCTCCTTGTGGAATGAACAGTAATAGATGCTATCCTTATTGAGAAACAGTAATGGATGCTACCCTTATTGAGAAAGGGCGTTGATACTTACCTGATACGCCTCTTCTAATAAGGGGGGAGATAGCATCCAGCCCCTCCCATCTGTTGTACCAGTTCTAGCTGTGCCTCCATGTTGTGTATAATCTGATCTCCTTTAAAGTTCAAGTCTCTTTGTACCATTTATAATTTCTTACTAAAGCCATTGTTGGATAACATCATTGAGTCTGTATTTATTTCCTTCGTGGAAAAACTGGGTAGAGTCACTCCAGGATGGGGTTATAAGGCTTGTTAATTAATTAATTAACTGGGTAGAGTCACTCCAAAACTGGGTAGAGTCACTCCAGGATGGGGTTATAAGGCTTGTTAATTAATTAATAATCAGACTCAGTGCAATCAGAGTATGGACAGTGTCAACCCATACATGGATGCTATCTCCCCCCTTATTAGAAGAGGCGTATCAGGTAACTACCAATGCCATTTCTCTTTTCTTTTGGACTTTACAGTGTACTCATCGTTTCTGGTGTTGCCAATACAATAGATAGTGAGTTTACCATCCCAATACCAACCAGGAGTGGCTGCCTCTTTTGTTTTTCTTTCTTTGTTAGATAGTGTTAGAACTACGTACAAAATATGTTTAAGATTTTATTTTTTACTATCTTAGTTTATTGCATATTATAAGATAATACAGAAAAGGAGGAAACTTTCTGACCATGTTAATAGCCAAGAATACCACAATAGGGACCAGAAATGCATTACATTTGAACAGATATTAGAGCACTTATCAGTCTCTGCTTTCTAATCTTGGCCAGTTCCTAGATTATTTTAGAGAGCTGGTCCACTGTTTAAGTTCAAGAAATCAAAGTTTCAATGAACAAATAGGGATAGAGTGGGCAAAATGTACAGTATATAAACAAGTAGATAAAAGTACTATTTTCCTAAATCTTCTACTATGAATACAGAAACAGAATTCTATCTCCAGAAGATTGATCAAGAATATAACAAATGCTTTTTATCATTCTTTTCTTCTAATTAATAGTTCCCGGTTATTCAGTTCTGGTTGTAATACAATGATATAGCATTTTGGGAAAAAGATGCAAATTAGTAGTCCAGCACCAGAGGCTAAGATGGAAAAGATTTCCACAGCCACCATGTATTTTCCCTTGGAGCTCAAGTATGCTGGGACAAAGGACAACCAAACACTGCAAAAGACCAACATGCTAAAGGTGATGAACTTAGCTTCATTGAAACTGTCTGGTAACTTTCTGGCAAGGAAAGCTGTGGTAAAACTGATAAGAGCCAGGAAACCCATATAGCCAAGGACACAATAAAACATGATCACAGAGCCTTCATTACATTGTAGTACAATTTCTTCAGGCACTGAGACCATATCAACATCTGGGAAAGGAGGAGCTATTGACAGCCATAAAGTACAGATGATTGCTTGGATCAGGGAGCAGGAAACAACAATGGAATTTGTTAATTTCTTCCCTACCCACTTCCTCATCCTGGATCCTGGTTTGGTAGCCATAAATGCTATAATCACTGTGATGGTTTTTGCCAAGATAGAAGAAACTGCCACTGAGAAGACCATTCCAAAAGTAGTTTGTTGCAAAAGACATGTCACTTTTCCAGGCTGGCCAATGAATAGAAGTGCAGAAAGGAAGCAGAGCAGGAGAGAGATGAGGAGAATGTAAGTCAGATCCCGGTTGTTGGCTATGACGATGGGAGTGTTGTGGTTCTTCACAAATATTCCTAGCACCACAACTGTGACTAGGGAAAAAGAGTGTGCAAGACAGGCTAAACTCAACCCTAAAGGTTCTTTGTAAATCAAGAAACTGACAATTTTTGGAACACAGAAGTCTTTTCTTGTGTTGGGATAATAGTCAGCTTTGCATCTAAAGCATTCATTTTTGTCTAAAGAAAAGAAGAAAAGATGTTATGTTTCTTTTGCAAGCATGTCATTAATATGAATGGTGTCCAATTATAGTAATAAACCAACTTTTAAAACAAAAACTTAGGTTTATAGAAGGTCTCCAAGCTCACTGGGTTTTGATAAATTTTGAACAATTTAATTATCTTTTTATTTTTTGAATTTTATTTAAAATTAAGAATCTGTCTCTCATGAAGAGTAGAAGCATAGGCATATTCCAACAACATTGGAAGAATAAAACAGTGTTCAAATTCAGTGAAAGAAAAAATATCAAGGCAATTAACACCTTCCAATTCCAGATATTAGATATAGAGCTGGACATTAGATATGAACTAGGAGCCTTGGATAGGGAGTCCAGAAAAATAATGATATGGCGAGAAAGAATATTTGTATCTCAGGGTTGAATTGTGGGTGTTTTGGTGATCTCTGAACTTGGTTGTTTTCTTGCAGACATTTAATTCCCAAACTAGATAAGAGCAGCAATACTACAGTGCTGTTGATCAGTGTTTGTTTATCAGACTTGGTAGCTCCTTGTTTCGGATATTGTTTACTGCTTAATTGTCGGTGTTAATATCTTCTGGGTGTTGATTGATAGCATGGAAATGTGTGATCTTTCAGCATTTTGATTATTCCTTTTGAAATGATACATAGATGTTGTGTATCTTTCTGTGCCTGTTAATGGCTGATTTGTCTGAATATGTGACCCGTCAAATGCGCTCCCGACAAAAGAGCGCAGACAAAACGGTGCCTACAAAAGCTGATTAGGGTTAAGGTAAGGGTTAGGGTTAGGGTTAGGGTTAGGGTTATTACGTTGTTTTCGTTGTTTTTTGATGGCACGCTTTTGTCAGCGCGCATTTGTGGATGCGCTTCTGTGTGCGTAATTTCGACCTCGCGGTTTTCTCGCCGCAGTTTTGTCGGTGTGCTTTTGTCATGTGCGCATTTGTCGGTGAACTGTCTGAATGTCAGTGTTCCAGCAACTGTCTATCATTTTTAGANAGAAAAAGAGAGGGGGAGAAAGAGAGAGGAAGAAAAAAGGGGGAGAGAGGGAAAAAGAGGTGGAGAAAGAGGGAGAAAGAAAGGGGGGAGAGAAAGAGAAAGGTAGAAAGAGAAGGAGAGAGGGAGGGGTGAAAAAGAGAGAGGGAGAAAAAGAGAGGGGGAGAGAGGGAAAAAGAGAAAGAGAGGGGGGAGAGAAAGAAAGGTAGAAATAGAAGGAGAGAGGGAGAGAGGGGGAGGAAAGAGAGAGGGGGAGAGAGAGTGGGGAGAAAGAGAGGGAGGGAGAAAGAGAGAGAACTTTTAAAATTAATTTAGCCTGAGGATTCTGCAAATTTTAGGCCCCTTCTGAATTTTCCACCTGAATCCGGCTTGCGGTTTCAAAAATCTCCCCCTGGCTTCCCTTTCACGTGTTTCAAAAAGACGACGCAGGTTGACCCGACTTTGTCTTTCTGCTGAATCAGACAAAAACCATCCTAAAAATACAGCTGGGCTGAGGACGAGGGCGAAGGTGGCTTTGAAAGATGGTTTATTGTTTATTTAATCCCCGTCTTCTTCCCTTTTGGAAAGGACTGCAGGAAGGCCCTGCAGAGATCCAGCACACCTTCCTCCCGTTTTCCATGCGACAACCCTGCGAGGTGGGCTGGGGTGAGGGCGGGGGGGGGGGAAGGACTGTCCCAAAGTCACTTTTCATTCTTCAGGCAGAATTAGAACTCATCACTTCCTGCTGAGTGGCCCATCATAACTCAGCAGGCCTCACGCTTAAAGAGGGACTAGAATTCACATCCTCCTGGGGATCAGCCCAGCCTCACTCAGCTGGCTCTCATGCCTAAGGCGGGACTAGAACTCCCCGTCTCCTGGTGACTGGCCCAGAGTCACCCAGACAGCTGCCTAAGGAAGGACTAGAACTCACCGCCTCCTGCTGATTCACTGAAAGTCACCTAGACAGCTTTCATGTCAAGGCGGGACTAGAACTCACCCTCTCCTGGCGATTGGGTCAGAGTCACCCAGTCGGCTTTCATGCCTAAGGTGGGACTAGAAGTCCCCGTCTCCTGGTGATTGGCCGAAAGTCACTCAGCTGGCTGTCATGCCTAAGGNGAAAACGGCTTGAAAAACAGCCTGAAAACACTCCCCAAAAAACACACCCTGAAACAGGCTTTCTGGGCCTTCAGGCCACTTCCAGGCTGTTTTGGGGGGCTAAAAACGGCCCCAAAAAGGCTTGGAAAACAGCCTGAAAAGGGTCCTCAAAACAGCCCCAAAACAGGCCATTTTCTGGGCTGTTTTCAGGCCATTTTTGGGGCCAAAAACAGCCAAAAAAAAACCCAGCCCCAAAACAGTCCTGCGCACCCCATCCAGCTGGTCTTTGGGGCTCCGCAAATGCTCACCGGATCTGGTTTGGGCCCTCCTCGGTGCCAAAAACGTTCGCCATCCCTGCTCCTTTCGGGGAATCCGGATTGAGATCCCTGCCTTGAGCAGGACGGAGCCAGAGGTCTCCGCGAGTTGCTGGCCGAACCTGTGGCTCGCAGTTCCCACGAAGGAGCCTTCGCGCCATGCGTGCGCACGCCAGGCCGCTGCCTCTCCCTCGCCAGGAAAACTCACCTCCCTCCAGCCGCAGGAGGCAGCTGACGTCCAGATGTTTTTCCTCTGCAGCCCCAAGTAGTCCGAGCCAGCTGGCTGGCGGGGAGAGGGGGGCTGTGTGTGTGTGTGGGGGGGGGTTGGAGAATTGCCAGGGCTTGTAATTTGGCACCGGAGCTCCTACTCTTCTGGCAGAGGGGTGAAGGAGCAGGGGAGAGTCGCCGCTGCTCCTCGCATCCAGAGCTTGAGAAGAGCATTACGGAATGACAAGAGTGGGAAGGGACCTCGGAGGTCTTCTAGTCCAACCCTGCGCACCAGCAGGAGACCTTATCCCGTTTCAGGCAAACGGCTGTCCGGTCTCCTCTTGAAAACCTCCAGTGTTGGAGGGAGCCATCACTTCTGGTGGCAAGGAGTTCCACTGGCTGATTGTCCTCACTGTCAGGAAGTTTCTCCTTAATCCCAAGTTGCTTCTCTCCTTGGTTAGTTTTCTTCTTGTCCTGCCTTCGGGGGGGCTCTTTGGAGAATAGGTGGACCCCCCTCTCCTTCTTTGGGGCAGCCCCTCAAATACTGGAATGCTGATTTCATGCCCCCCCATCCCCCCTTTACGGCTTCTTTTCATTAAACCAAACAATTCCTGCAACCATTCATCAAACGGTTTACTCTCATTCTAAGTTCTTTTAATTGTCCCCATGGGTTACTATGTTTTATCTGCATTTTGTGTGTGTGTGTGTGTGTGTAAGTTTTTACCCTTTGTGTGTGTATAGCAAGAGAGGGAGGGAGAGAGGGAGAGGGGGGGAGATAGAGAGGGAGAAAGAGAGAGGAAGAAAGAGAGGGGGAGAAAGAAAGAGAAAGGTAGAAAGAGAAGGAGAGGGGGGAAGAAAGAGACAGGGGGAGAAAAAGAGAGAGGGAGAAAGAGAAAGGTAGAAAGAGAAGGAGAGGGGGGAAGAAAGAAAGAGGGGGAGAAAAAGAGAGAGGGAGAGAGGGAGAAAGAGAAAGGTAGAAAGAGAAGGAGAGGGGGGAAGAAAGAGAGAGAGGGAGAAAAAGAGAGAGGGAGAGAGGGAGAAAGAGAAAGGTAGAAAGAGAAGGAGAGGGGGGAAGAAAGAGAGAGAGGGAGAAAAAGAGATGG